AGAGATGTACAGGAATGTTCCCAGTATAATTATTTGTACTAACCTAAAACTGGAAACTATCCAAATAGACATCAGCAGTACATTGGATAACCAGACCCTGGTATATTCACACAATGGAATACTGCAATGCGATGTGAATAAAAACCAAACGGATGAACCTCTCGAACGTAGTAGCAAGTGAGGGAAGCCAGATCTCACAGGTTACAAACATTCAAAATAAAAAAATACATACAAAATAAAAATTGCAAAAATTAACAAAGCCAATCTAAGTTATTTGAAGTCAGAATCATGGTTTACCTTGGTGGGAAACAGTAACTAGATGTGGCAAGAGGCAGTTTTCTGGAGTTGCTGGTAATATTGTTTCTTTATCTGCTGCTGTTTACATGGGGACATTGCATTTGTTAATATTTATTATAATATGTACATTTTTTTCTACATACAATGCACTTCAATAAAAGGTTAAAAATGCAATGGCCCTTAAATGATTAGAATTTGATTTCTGAAAACTCATTTAGAATGAGATGTTACTGTAATTTAGGTGGCATTAGATCACGAAAGAAAGGCAACCCGAGGGAGGGTGGGAGGTTGATTGGGAGGTTCATACCCACGGCCTCTCTTCTCCAAAGCTCCAGCAAAAGCTTTGTTATGGTTTCAAAGGTCATGGAAGGACAAATGTCTGAAGAGCAGTTTCAGAGAGAAAGCCTACAGCAAGCCAGGTACCTTCGAAGATTAGCAGAATGATAGCTTTTCTTTAGTGTGGAGAAGAAATTAAGAAATTATGATTTGAAAACTAAAGAAAATTAACATGTGTGTGAATTAAGAATTATTACTGTAGAAACTATGAATTGACCTGAATATCATACTAAATATTTCACAACTAGTATACTCCCTCTCTTTATTAACAAAGTTAAGTTTGCAGTTTAGGATATTGTGTTTAAAAGGTGAGAATATATGTGTGTGTGTGCGCGTGCGTGGGTGTGCATTGTGTGTGTGTGAAATCTCTTTCCTGGGTACACTGAGATCAAAATACCCCCACTTCCCCCTTTGCATTTTTGCTTAGATGACACACAGGAGATCAATGAGCTCTCCTGTTGCTCGGTGTTCCGGAGAAATTTTTAGAGTCGATGTTCCTTTGTAGTGGTCTTTCAGCCGGGTATTGTTATCCACACAACCGGGCGCAGTTGGCCATGTGTGCAGTATTGAACAGTCATCTGGCAGTGAAAGCGTTCAGCAGGGGAGCCAGACAGAATGCACTGGCGGCTGAATTCCCCATGGCCGTGACCTGCAGTTGTCAAAGTGAAGTTTGTCAAAATAGTCATCAACATCAGCACTTTATAAAGCTCCGCTGTAGAGCAAGAAAATAGGTTGGTATTATGAAATGATGGCTACACATGGGCACGAAGAGAAGTAAAGGACATTAGAAACCAAGAGGGGGAGGGTGGGAAGGGAGGTGTGAGATAAAAACTTACCTATTGGGTACATTGAACACTACTCTGATGATGGACACCCCAAAAGCCCCGACTTAAACATTGTATTATACAAGGTCTCAACGCAACAAAAACATTTGTACCTCCTTGATATTTTGAAAGAAAACAAAAGAATGAAAAAGAAAGCCTAAACTGAAGAATAAATAAGCAAATAAGTAAGAAAAATGAAAAAATGGAACTCAATTTTCCCCAAATCCTGGGCAGTGCTGAAAAGAAGATGGTGAGCGTCCGTGGCTTGTTAGAAGCGTCCCTCAAGGGAACTGTCCCAGCTGAAACAGACAACGCCTGCGTGGAAAATGCTTGTTCCCTCCGGGTCCTCCTCAGACGGTGCTGCTGGCTTTTCCTTTACCCATTGGACACTGCCAGGAACATGGCCCTCCAGACACTCAGCACGTGCAGCTCAGACCAAAGAGGCTGCTCGGCCATCTCAATAGCACTGGACTGCACTGGACATTTCTGAATCAAAGTATCTCCCTGTCAAAAACCATTCATCACCTGAGAGGATGTGCATTTTTTATTTTTTCAGCAAATAGCTTTTTTTGCTTTTTTTTCCCCTACCCCTAGCAATCCTCTGAGAAAAGGGATAATAAAAATACACTCAAGATGAATATGAAGGCAATTACCTCTCACTTTTTCAAAATCCCATCTGAGGCAAGTTAGTTTGGAGTAAATCTTGGAGAGAGAAAGCTCCCAACATACTCCAGGTAGTGGCCGGTGGTCACTGCAGCTGCTGCCCGCTCATCCCTGCTGTGGGAGAGGGTTCTGGGTCTGTGCTAACCCTGTGCAACCTACAGAGAGTTGCACGCCTCCTTAGAACACTGTGCACCTGTCAGCCCTTGCTGAAGCTCTAGTTCACAGAGTGGAGGCAGAAGGCAGCTTTCGTGACATTGGTACTTTACACACATTGCAGCACCTTCATTTCATGGCAAAGGATCCTGTAGGGTCAGAAATTTTTTCAGTGGCTATTGAGCTTCCTAAGCTCCTGAAGACTTTCCATGTGGCCATGTTTCATTCAAATGGCTACTTTCAAGGGTAACTATCCAGTTACATGAGCAACATCGTGGGAGGAATGCATTATTTCTCCAGACCTTCGAAGAGTCAATTTTATTTTCTTCCCTGTAATATACCTCTAGAAGATGAATTCGTGACCTTGTGGAGAGTTGCAAGATGCGATAAGGAGTTCTCAATCAGTACAGAAAGATAATGGCATCAGTGTCTCTTTAGTTCTAAATTGCATTTTTCTATATTTTTGGTCTTTCAATTTAACACTGTGCATGCAGGAAGGATATTGTTGTAATGTTTAGTTGATTGAAAGATTTGAAAATGACAGTACTCAACCTGTTTAAGAAAGAATCGTTTTCAGAATAATTCCTCCTTATGCTACTCCCGGGGGGTTGGGGAGCAGGGTAGATCCCTGGTTTATCATTTTGCCAATTTCCGAGGGGCAAATATGCCAACCATGGCTGATTTCATGCTGCCAATATGGCGTGTTGAATGCAGAGTTGGGAAGGGGCGTGTAGAAGTACGTCACTGTACAGCATCTCCACACCAGCAATAGATTAAATAATCTCAGAGATAATAGTAAAACGTAAAATTGGAAGTGGTGACTTTTTAGTGTTGATTACCTTTGTTTTCAATACAATGTATTTCCTCTTAACTTTCTGTAACAATTTTTAATAATGGCTGTGTTTAGCATAGGGCTCACAATTATGAAACATTTAAGAAGCACTTTCCAGAGCCACTCAGCTGAGTGAATGTAGGAAACAAGCAAAATACACCCGGTAATTTACAACTCCCGATAGGCAATGGGCATGACTTTTATCAAATATCCACCTTTGACAATGGGTTCAGTACTTGTGAAATACAAAGAGGAGTCAGAAATGCTCAGGAAGCTCAGAATGTAGAGAGGACGGGCTGGCACCAGGGCAGACTTGGATATGCGCCCCAGCACAGGGACATGCACACAGTGCCGGGGGCGCTATTCTGACAGAGGGGACCAAGAGGGAGCAGCAGAGCTCATCTTCAAAGGACAGCAGGGTGGGTGATTTCAGACAGAGAAAAGGGAGCAGCTCACAGGGGACAGAGGCAGCTGCTGGAGCGAGCAACTAGTAGCAACACCTGAAGGATAAGAGGCTAATTGCCGGAGACTGAGCATGGGCTGGCTTGAGAGTTAAAACTTCCTCTGGAACCCCGAGCTTAGGGGGCTCCCATGCTTTTGTGAGCTTTCCTTCCAGAAGCCCCACCAGGTTCTCAGGGTGAAGATATGAAGATCGGAGGAAAATCCCATCCTGCTCTGGCAGGGAAAGGGAAAAGGTACCATTCTGAAATACACCTGGAGCATTCAGCTCTCCTTAACCAAGGCCAAGGGAGACTAGTTTCCCGGAGTCTAACTGGGGTTTTCCCAGAGGCTAGCCCAGCTGGCCCACTGTCCATGGGCAGTGGGGGTGGCTGGTGAGGAAAAGGGAGGGAGTGAGCAGTCTGGGACAAAGCCAGATTTCTTGCTTGGATCCTGAAACCAGGTGAATAACAAGGCCACTGATGGAGGTAAGGCTCCCTGGAGCAGGCAGGGTTTGCTCAGAGTGATTATTTGCAAAAGGAATTTCAAAGACAATGAATGGACCCGACTCTGGAGGTGGCAATGGCACTTTAGACTGGGATGTACAAATAAGGATTTGGGAGGAGGTAGGATCTGACCTTGAGCTTGAATCCTGTTTTTCCTACTGTTTCACCCTTTCTTTCCAGATTAGGAAACAGTGACCTAGACACAGTAACTTCTCCTAATGTGAGTGGTGACAATGGCCACGTCCACTGAAGGACTCCAAGGTGGGACTGGGACTGGAGGCTGGAGAGGGAAGTGTGGGAGGCAGCGTTCCGATCGAAGGTCGCAACCTCAGAGACACTCCTATCCAATTATTATAACTCCCTATATCCTGTCCATTTCTAAGCATTTATATTACTTTCCTTTTCTCCAAAGCACTTGTCATTACTTAACAACCCAACATATGCGTATTTATTCAGTTACTGTGGTTTTCCTCCATTGGAATATAAATCCCAAGAGAATATAGACTTTGTCAGTTTTGTTCACCACTGTATTCCCATATCCTAGAAGAGTATTTAGCTCATAGTAAACACTCAACAAATATTTAAAAGAAATAAAGAATGCTCAAGGGAACCCCATTATTGGGCAAAGAATTCATTTAGTAGACAAGTAATCAACCTTTAATTTATTTTGCCCATTAGAAGTGCGTCAGTTGAAGTTGAGATGTCCCTTTTTTTTTTCTTTAAGGAAAGACACTAATTGGTTAACTCATCAAAATAAACACAAGAGGCTGCTGCTGCTGAAGACCTTACCTACTTGTAGTTGAGCTTGGGAGGTAATAAAGGAATACCCAGGGGAATAAACAGAAGCACCTGCAACTAAAAATCAGGTCTGGGATAGCAGGCACACAGCCTGATTAGCTGTGAAGTACGGCTGCATACTGGGTGGATTTAGTAAAAGCAAAACCCTTACCTGTCAGGTTCTATTGTGGCTGTGATTACTACTATGTGCCAGGTATTTTCCTCCTGGAAGAGAGAAGTGATCAAAATAAATCTGCTTATTCTCATTATTCAGGGTCATTGTGCAGTTAGCTATCAAGGAAAAAAAAAAGAATAGAGCTTAGTAAAACTCAATGAAGTATACCTAATTTGCATAATGTTTCCCAATGTCTCATGGGACTAAACTAAAGAGCAATTTCCATGGTTGGAGAATTAGGATGTGGTCCCTTGAAGAGTGTTCAGCTCTATTCTAGAGTGTGAACTGAAGGACACAATGGTTGGATAATCTGTAGCTTGCATGGTGTATATAGTTTACGACCCTCTTCATTGTCTGGGTCAAACTCTAAGGAGAGTTATTGTCCTTTTGTAATGATAATAATTTATTAATACTTTCTGAATACAAGATCAGGAAAGTCTTGAATTTGCAGTAAAAGAATCCCAGAAATGAAGAAGTTCTATAAAGGATATTAAACTAAATAGTTTACAAATATCTAAAGTATTTTTTTCAAGTCATAGCTGTTAAAATTAGGGAGACGTTTTTCTATGCCCATCTCAATGAGGAAGGAAGTTACTTGGCTGAAGAAGAGGTGATAATCATAGCTGAAGGTACAAGGGGTCTTTGAGTAGGTCAAGAAGGGACCAGCAGGTTGGAAGGCAGCAGGAGCTTGGAAGATCACAGGGTCTCTGCATTAAGGAGCTGAGGCTTTGGCACCAAAGACACCTGACTTCCAATTTCACCCGTGCTTCTTACTAGCTGACGAGTTGCTCAATTTTTCTAATCCCATGCCCTCCATAAAATAGAGATGGTATTTACACCACAGAGCCAGTATGTGCAAAATCATAGGACAATAATAGGCTCAATAGTTGACTGCTATTATAAATCATCATGACCACCATCATCTTCATCTTCATTGGAAAGGAAGCAAAGCATAAAGAGAAGGCATCTTTTGTAGCAAGACCCCTGCTGTGTAAAATCTGAGGCCGAGGTGACCAGCAGACCTGTTCAAACCCATGATGAGACATATCTGTGCCATTTCTCAGCCTGGTTTTTCTCAGAAACATCCCTCTTCCTTTTCCTCCTTTGTCCACATCACGAAGGGACTTCGTTCCGCTACACTTCCCATGCTCACTGCTGGTGTTGATGAGGTTTGCCCAAAGAGAGGCAGCAGCAAGGGCCTGGATGAGAGGAGGAAGGGTGAAGTCAGGGTATTTCTCCCTTTTCCCCTTTGCCTCAGATGGTACCTTTAGCAGCAGCTGGACCTCCTCTGTGGCTCTACCTCCCATGGGACAACCAGTGGTGGTTTAGCTTCTTCTGGTTTAGCTCCCAGGTTCCTGTAATGCCATCTTCCCCCTGTCCTCCAGCACTAGGAATCACGGCAGCCTCCTGCTGCTGCTGACTCTGGGTTGTTCCCAGCTCCCAGGCTCCAGTTATCTGCACTTCACCTTTGGCCTGCAGCACTGGGTCATAGTGGCGTCCTGCTATTACCATCCTCTGTGCTGCAGCACCATCTTCTTTTTGGTTCTCATCTCTTCTGTGTTTTAAATTCAAAACATTTAAAATGCATAGGAAAGTTTCTCTTTTCTATGTTCCCTCACTGATGCACGCTATAAATTTATTGATTCTAGGGACATTATCAACTATAACTCAGATTACCTAAGCACACTATCTGAAACAACCAGAAATTCTATAAAATAATCTTTACACCAAGAGGCCAAATTTGTGGAATTTTAGTCTCTACAAAGTACTTTTGCAAATATTACAACTCTATCCTCCAAAGCATATTTAAAGTATGGGAAGTGGAAATCATTTTTCCCATTTTACAGTTAAAGAAATAAGATCCAGAGAGGTTAGATGATTTGCCCAGTGGAAAAACCACACTTTTGATACACATATTGGAAGAAAATAAAGCAAAGAAATGGATCTCAGGCCTCTACACACAAAGCTGCTTTTTCTGGGACTTCATCTATGAGCATGAGTGAACCTCAACATAGTTGAGAAGTGCATTAGTGCCTCGGTAGGAAATACACTGCCAGCCATGGGTACAGAGCTATGGAACCACGCTTCTTTTCTGTGATGACTCAGTCTCCACTAATTGTATCATTATGGAAGCCCCATGATTGTGTAAATTAAGCAAGTAGCAGATGACTTCTCTGTGACTCACCTTAGTAACTTATTATACCTGTTCCATGAATGCAGACTCTAACTACCTTGCAAAGCTAACTTGGAAATATGCAGCCAATTAACAGTCATATTAATAGAAGCAGTGGTTTATAATGTATTTTTACCTAGCTTGATCACTCAAAACTCAGCAAGATGAACAGAAATGCTATTGTTCTTATTTAATAGATGAGTAAACAGAGGCTCAGAGTGATAAAGTGACTTTCTCAAGGTCACACCATGGGTTTCAGTGCAACAATTTGAATCAAGGCCTTCTGACTCTGATGCCAGTGTTCTGTTCCATGGTGAAAGTACCCCCAGGTTAATACTGAGTAATACAGAATCTCCTCCTCAGCTTTGTAATCAAACCATTGACAAGCCTGTAGCTTCAGAATTTCAAAATCTAAAGTGAAAATTCCAGCCCAGATTTTAAAACTCTGTGAATTTTTGACACTGTACTAGCAAAATGTTTAGGTTCTTAGAGTTTTAGACACATAGGGACCCCAAGTTTTGGAATTAAAGTTCCACTTCTTATTCAAATACTTTAGGTAGTAGGAAGGCAGTTAGAAGTACACTGGCAATGGTAAAAATCCCCCTATTCTAGAAAATTTGATTTATTTCCTAATGTTTAGTCTTAAACCTCTAGTCTGGTCCTAACATTGGCGGATAAGAAGTGGGTGAAAACATTCCTCACATAGTTTCACATAATTTGCTCATGAAACATCACAACTTGATCCTGTGTGCCAGCAAGGAAATTCTCTACCTGGATGGCAATTAATTCATGTATTGACATCCTTCAGGGTGTTGTCAGAATATCTTGATCCAAAACTATCTTTTCTATCTGTTCTCCAAATCTGAAACATATTTATAAAGAACAAATCCCTTTTACTTTCATAAATCATATTTTAAAAACTGTGTTAATACCTCTGGCAAAGGTTTCAAATCTGACCTTCTTACCATGGTACTTGAGTTCTTTCTAATCTTCCTTAGCTCACTTTTGCAGTGCCTGAATCTAATCTTCCACTACACACTCTCTTCAATTGCTATCTTATTCTTAGCTTCTCCAGCTCTACCCAGAAGTCCCCATTCTCTGAAGTTTATTTACTAATATAATAAGCTCTTTTATACTTTCCTTCAGTTTTTAGTATCTGCCTCCTACCAAAATTCTTCCTTAAATCAGCAGATACTTCAAAAGCCTCTGTTCAACTTTCAAGGCCTACCTTTATATGTATCCTTCTCCATGAAGTCTTCTGAGGTGACCTCCTCTATAGTTAGGGGTTTTCATGATTATCTACCATCAACCTTTTCTATTCTTTGTAGTTTATCTCTTTGAACATTAGTTTTTTATCTGTTAAAAGAAGAGACTAGACTAAATCACCAGTTGTCAGACTTGGAGGCAAGTCATTCAGACAGGAGGAGTTCACTGACAGTATGATTTCTACTTTCTCTACCCCAATCCCAATGAACCAAATTCCCCAGAGAATGAAAGGGAAGAAAGGGAAGTTAAATTTGAGAAGCCTTGTGAATAACAAATGATTGATTCTCATGCAGACAGTCCTACAACAGTAGGAATAACAGGTGGAACCTAAGATTAAACTCAAATGTAAACATGCTATTTTTTTTATTAACTTGATTTGAATTGTTGACAGAATTAGATCCAACATTGTTACCAATTGTTTATTGTATGTAACTGATGTAAGTTTAATATTTCATTAATTGTACCAAATGTCCTAAGGAAATGGAAATAAAGTATTAGACAAAGTACAGGCTTGAGCAAAGAATGCAATCTTTCTAAAACAAAACCCTGTTGAGGCCAACCGCAAAAGGTCATTAGCCATTTTGACATACCAGAACTTCAGTATGAAGAGGAAGTGATATTCTTACCATTCCAGACGTAACCCACAGGTTATATTGCTAGCCCCCCAGGCAGATGGGGTCACAGCTAAAATCTTTCACCAGGTGAAAGCAATTTGGTACCAAACTGGTAAAATGCAAATATTTATTTGTTTGCAATAAAGAATAGTACAGATACTTGCATCTTCTCAAATAGTAGCTTTTTCTTTTTTCTGAAAGACTGAGAAATAGTCAAAATGAAAAAGCATGAATGATTTTTTTCTCACTAACCAGATCCCCAAATCAAGAGGAAAGAAGGGAAAAGACTAAAGTTTATCTGCTGCCGTAATGAAAAACTGTTTCCCAGACTGGTTTTGGTGAAGCTTCGCTGAGAGTGCAGAGTCTAGTAATCAAGTCATTTCATGATTTAATTTACCTTGATTAGCATAGCAATTTGCTATACCTTCCTCAAAAGTGCTAATCAATTTTAGCAACTAGTAGAGTGAAAACACCACACAAATTGCTCTCATGGCCCCAAACTGCTAATCAATTTTGAAAACCTAAATCAATCTGCATTTTATCCTGTCATTTCTTGCTTGACATTTTTAATATCTCTCATGACTCTGAAGTCTGAGGAATGAGTTTTCATGCCAAATAATGAACTAAAATGATATTCCATTTTGGCTTAGGGGTTGTCATTTCATCTTCCCCACACATCGTCCTCTGGCTCGCAAAACGTTGGTGTGCATGCAAGAGTGAGCAAGTTATTTTAATAACCAAGGTCATCAAGGTCATTGCAAAGTAGCTGCTTTTCTATTTCTCACTTGAAAAGGGAAATTGCTATGTCTATAAAAATTTTGGATTATGTATATAAGTAAGATACTGGTACATTATTAATTGAACGGTGAAAATATTAGAACCACAGCATTTTAGGATGGGAAGGGTTTGTAGTAATCACCTGCTCCAGTCACTATGTTAGCTAGAGAAGTAAAGTCACACAAGTAGGCAGCACCTGTCCCCAGGCCTTTTTGAACCAGCCCCAGACTAATGCCCATACCATGCATGACAGTTTTCCACATGCATGGCTGCGGTTAAGTATGAAATTACTGCCAAAGGGAACTGAGAAGCCTCTGATGCTCCACATTAGCCATGTGTCCTGCAAAACTGCCCCTCTTAGGTGATTTTCAGATGCACTGATCTCATACCCATCAAAGTGTTTATAATATTTTAAGCAGGGTAAGCCTGATTCTCAGATTGAGATTTCTTTGTTTGAGATGTGAGTAGACTAGACTTTTTTTTTCTTGCTTAGCAATTGAATTAAATCAGCAACCATCTGGATCCTCCAACAATAACACATTTATTAAAGAAAGATTGAGACGGCTCTTTGGAAATAAGGTCTGAAGACCAAAGTTCTGCCTGTGACAGTTCATACATTAACAGAGTCTAACGATGAAATTCTCTGCTTAATTATCAAGATCTGTGTATCAGATTTCACATGTCACTTTCTTGTGTCCAAGCATGACAGCTGTGGCATAGAGCGGGGTTAGGGAGGCCAGGGCAAGCCTGGGCAGGAAAGCCAAGGAGGAGAACATCATGCAATCAGGGGACCTAGGACATCTGAAAGCATAAAAGACTAGGAAAAGGTCAAGGGTCAGAGGTCAGGCTGGCAGGCATGCCAGTGGCAGCAAAGTGACAGCAGCCAGGAGATGGGATGCATACACAGTGCTGTCCACGGAAACCAGAGTGGAGTGAGGCTCTTCTGGTGGACGATTCTCTCAGATTGTGTTTTTTCTAAAAAAATGATTTTATTTCATTTTCCATTTCCATTCTTCAAGTATATTTTCACTTTAAAGAATTCTAGGTTGGCAGCTATTCATTTCTCTCTGCACTAGGGATGTATCCCACTGTCTTCCGGCTTCTGTTATTTCTGTGGAGACAGCTCTCTCTCCGATTAATCAGATGTTTGCACAGTCTTGGGAATCTCACCCAAGATACTTACTAATTATCAATGGAGAAATAGCAGCTGTCCAGTGGAGCAACCTCACAGACAGCAGTACAGTCAAGTGGTTACAGTCACCGTCCTCAGGATGGGCACAAGGGTTCCTGGTGTCTCCTGAGGGAGGGAGAAGAGAAAGCACAGCACCCCCTCTGTGGAACTCCTGCCTGAGGGGCACACGCTGAATCCAATCATGAGGAAACAGCCATGCATCGAAATTGAAGATATTCTGCATAAAAACTGGCCCCTTTTCTTGAAGATGGTCAGTGTCATGAAATGTACACAGATACTCAAGAACTTGTCCATGTTCAAGGATGTCATGAGCGCTGAGGAGACACGATGGCCTGCCTGGAACACATGGCCCAGGACCTTCTTTGTGCTGCGAAGACCATTTCCGGGATTGGAGAAATCTGAACAGGACGATAGTGTAGGTAATAGGATTGCATCCGTGTCACTTCCCTGATTTTTAGTAACTGTAGTGGTGTTTTTTAAGATAATATTTTTTGTTTTAAGGATACACTGAATTATTTAGAAGTAAATGGATAACAAACTGACTCATAAACAATTCAGATGATAATGAGGTGCACGTGTGCGTGTGTGCACACGCCCCCGTGTGTCTGTGTGTGTGTGTGTGTGTGTATAGAGGGAGGGAGGGAGGGAGCTTGCACAAACTAAAGCAAATGTGAAATGTGGATATTTGAGAAATCTACATAAAGGATATGGGAATCATTTGAACTCTTCTTGCAACTATCCTGTAGGTCTAAAATTACATCAAAATAAAAAGCCAAGAGAATAAAAAAGAAAACAAAAATAAAAATAAACAGCAATGAAAAGAATGACAAATCAGAGATCATGGAAGATGCTGTTCTTAGATGATTGATATGCCTTATTTGTTAATGAACACTTAAGTAAAATCTTAGAAGAAATGAACTTGTGAATATATATATATATTAGTTATTTAAAATAATAATGTAGAGAAAGCTTAAAATAGAGAATTAATAATAAAATACACTGCAAGTATAGATAAAACTTAGAAGCAGGATACATAAAGAGTTCTAATTACCCACTTTTCCAAGAGTACAAAGTAGCATTGAGTTTGATAATTCAAGGATGCAGGTTGTTATCTTGAATAATAGCTAAAATAATAATAAACAAAAGAAGTTTATTTTAAAAATAAAGCACATATAAGCAAGAAAGGAGAAAAAAAGAACTTGAACCAGTAGGACAAATAAAAAGCTTGTAGCAAAATAGTAAATTTACATGTACTTTATCAGCAATTACATTAATCGAAAATGGACTAAATGCTACAATTTAAAGAAAAAAACAGCCACGATTTTTTTAAAAGCCTCTAGATGTTTGCTATGATTGATATATTTGAATTATAAAGTTACACAAACATGACGTATAAAAGAATACAGTATGTGACAGTTACTCAAAGAACAAAAATACATATAGGAATATCAGGTTTTTGGTAAAAGGTATACTTCATAATGATAAGTGTTCTATTATATAGGGAGATAAAATGATTATAAATCTCTATGCATCAAATAATATAGCCTCAAAAACATAAAGCATAAACTGACAAATGTAAAAATATAAATAGACAAAGATATAAGCGCTCAATAATTTCTCAATAATCTATCACAGAAATTGATGAAATAATCACTATGAGATTTTGCACATACAGAGAATTTGAACTTTGTAATTAAGAAACTTAGGTTCATTGGTATTTATGGAACACTACAGTCCTTCATTGAGAAACACATATTCTTTTTTAATATAAACATAAAATTTACAAAAATTAATCATTTATAGACCCATAAATGATATCTCAGAAATAGGAAGGATTGAAATAATAAAGTGTATAACTGACTTCAGTGCAAGTTAGAAATGAATAGCAAAATGACAACTGAAAACTCCCATGTATTTGGAAAATAATATATGGGAGTATATTCTAAGTAACCTGTATATGAAAGAAGAAATCATACTGAGATACAAGAAATATTGTGAACTAAACAATAATTTGGAAATGATGTGTAACCATGTGTGAGATGCAGCAAAACCACACTTACAAGGAGATTATAACTTTAATCAGTATGAGGAAAGAAGCTGCAAATAAATGAGCTAAGTATCCATCTCAAAATTTGGAAAATAATAACAAAATACTTTTAAAAAGCAGAAAAAATCAAATGTTAACCATACAAGCATAAATTAATAAAATAGAAAACAAACATACATACAAAAAGAATTAACAAAGCTAAGTTAGTTCTTTGAAAACTCTAATAAGAGTGATAAATCCCTGATGAGACTAGTAAAAAAAAAAAGGCTAAAAAGCCACTAGCACTAAGAGAAAAAGTACAGCACTATGCATCTCATAGATATTAGAAAGTTATAAGGTGACATGATGAACAATTTTATGCCAATAAATTTTAAAATTCTGATGAAATGGTCACATTCCTAGAAAAATAAACTAGATCAAAATGGACACGAAAAGAAATAGAAAATATGAATTGTTTAAT